CAATTGGTTGGTGAATAATAGTTTCAAAATTGTTCTGCCCACGTTAAGTACCTGTATTTACATCCTTTAGACTAGGTCATTTGAAGTAGTAAGAACCTCGTTTGCTACTAGCTAAAGGAGAAGGAGCTTCTTAATTGATTTTAGAAATAGAAGGATATGCCAGAGGATTTCCAGTATCTTTGGCAGCTCCATGTCCTGTCTCAGGTGTTTGAGTGGTTGGTCTTTCTGTAAGAACAGTAGCAACTTCTGGGTTTCTGCCCCATCCCTGTTGGAGTCATAATACAGCTCTGTGCTTTGTAGCAATATCAGAAGTTGTACTCTGTTGCTCTTGCTCAGCCTCCAGTCTTGTCCCAGCTGACAAACATTGTGAATGGAAGACAGCCAAGAACTCCACACAGTGTGAGACAAAGGCCTTTTGGAAGCTTACTTTTGCCAAAATAGAAACAGCTACCCTCACCCTCATCTTGGCCCCAAGGTTTTTACAGCATCCTAGGGTCGTGCAAAAGTTGCAATGTGTTTTTTGCATTGAACAGTTCTCGGCCTGGTTGTAGGAAGGTGAGCAATTAGTGGCTTATATGCTCAAGAAAATGTACCATCCCAGTACTTTAGCTGCCAGAGAGAAACATACTAGAAGTGCCTTTGTATACTATATAATGGGAACTTTATCCAAGTTAGGACAAAATCTAATGTGGGGAGAATAATACATAGAAATGTTTGCTCTTCAGAAATCAGAGTAAGAGGGGCACGAAGAGACATTAACCTTCTCAAATAGAGATTAGCATTTCCTACTTCATCTCCCTGAATTCTCAAAAAATGAATTTACAGAGTTATTTCACTATGAAGAGACATCCAGCTCTGCTCCATCACCAAGAAGCCTGAGTGAAGGCTAAAAGGAGTGTTTTTCTGGAAGGAATTTTAAAAAATCCTCCCAGAATTTAATCTCTGAACAGTATTATCTTTCTAGTAAGAGAGCCCAGATTTTGCTTCTTCGGAACCTTCCAAGTTGCAGTCTGTGTTCTGTCTATCAGAAATTCCTCCTTCCCACCCACGAGTACCCTTCTGTTGTGGGGGAAGGAGGGCCTTTCCAGTCTTTTGCCTGGGGCCAAGCCAACCCTCAAACTGTGGTTTTCTCTGAGTCTCTTTGCTGTAGCATGGCTGTTTCCCACACCCAGCAAAGAAGCAGGAGTCGTGTACATGTTGACCAGGTCTTGAGTAGAGGCCAGTGCTTACACATCTCTCTCCTTCCTAGGACATTGACAACGGCGCAGCCCCCATCCCTGTGTTGTTAACATTGTAAATCCAAACCTCACATTTCTTAGAAATTATAGAGAAAGAACTTCATATCATTCTTCTGTCCTTTTATGAATGAATATCAGGACAAAACAGTTCATGTGCTCTATAGTGGGGTAGAGTTGTAGGATTGGGGCCAGTACAGGCTACGGGGGGCCTGGAGAGGCTGATTTCTGCCACTGGTTTAAACACGTTCGTTTATATGTCTGCTTTTAACATTGCCTGAGTGTTTTCCTGGTTTTCTTATCAGATTTAATTGCTTTAATCCCATCCCACTTAGCTTTGACTTTCATGAAACACCTGTCTACATTACTGACTCTTTGGAGCTTCAAATGGTGTACAATTGTAACAATTTCATTATCCATTCAGTATATTAGAGTATCATCATCCAACCACCAGTCGCAACCTAGAAGCTTTTTACTATATTTGGAAAGAGTATCTGCTTTCTGAGATGTAGTACATTTCTGTTGTATTGAGGCTTGAGCAAACTTGAATCTGTGGTAGATTGAGAATTATTTCTCATATCAGTTAAGATTCCATTTGGCTGCATGTAACAGAACTCCCTCTGCCCGTTCATGGCTTAAACAAGTTAGAGGGTTCTTTTTCCCCATATGGTTAAACATCTAGAATAGGTTCTCCCAGACTCCATGATGCCATCAGAAACCCATGCTTGTTCTGTGTTTATCCTCTTGAATTCTTAGCTTACCTTAATAACTCTATGCCTGTTCATCTCTAGCTAGATATCCATGTTCTTGGAGGGAAGAACAGTAAGTAAAGGGCAAAAGGTGTGTACCAACCAAATCTGCCCTCTTAAAAGAGCTTTCCCCAAAACTGCACGCAGAAGCTTCTGTTTATATCTCATTGGCCAGAATGTGTGTCACGTGATTATCCTTGGGTACAAGAGAGATATGGAAATGCAGTTTTTCAGCTGGGCACACATTATTACCCAAACAAAATCGAGGAGAAGTAATAGTATCCAGGCAGTAAGTTCTAACTTATTTTGCTGTTTGAAGTAAACACTAATCTTATATAGAGCATCAATGTCTAAGGTCCTACCACAAAATTTGCATCTAGGAAGGTGAATTTATTTTTGTTTGGGATCTGCAGAAAGCCTGACATATTTTGTGGCTGAATGTGAATTGGTAACAAACAACACATTAGGCACTGTTCAAAGTCCAGAGAATGGTCCTTTTACAGGATTACATCTGTATGTAAATACATACTTGCCTATTTTCTTGTATGGGAATCTAGTTGATGAATACTTGGGGTTTTTTCCCACTATTTTCATTTATTAAACACCTAGGCTTTCTACTAGGCACTGTGGGTGAAACAAAAATTAATCACATACATAACCCAGCCATTTCCAGTGTGTATTGTCTTGAAGGGAGAAAAAGTACATACGTAAATGGCTGTAATGCAAAGTAGAACATACTGTGATAAGACACATAAAAATAAATTTTTCTAAGTGTTTAGAAGAGGAAAAGATTATTTCTGTCAGAGAGAATTGAATAAATACGATCTGGGGAACCTAAACATATGTTTTCATTTTAAGTGTTTGCTTTCACAGCTAGTGAGCATCATCATAAGACTAGAAAAATATGTTGGAATAAAATGCATAACCAACTACCATTCACAAATGATTACTGATAGGTAGACTTGCATGTCATGCCATCCTTTGGTTCCTTAATAGACTGAGGTAGTGGTTTGGGAAGGAATGGAGCATTTGTTGAGTGTCTACTGTGTGCCTGGCTCTTAATTTATTTCAGGAAACTCTTATTGAACGCTTGGGCTAGGGTTACTTGCAGGATCTTCATTTACTCTCCAACAATCCAGCAAAGTAATTTTAATTGCTTATGAGAAAGCTGAAGCTCAGAAAGGTTAAAGTAACTTGAAAAGATCACCCACTTTGTGACAGGGCCAGCATTTGAGCCCAGGCACATTTGACTGCAAGCCATGTTCTTTTCCATTTACTTTGGGTCTCTCTGCCTTTCACTGATGACCTAATCTGCTTTTGTAGCTTGTGTTCAACAGTTAATTCCTTCTTTAACCCAATCTAATAGGGAGTCTTATACCCAGCTGGTTGAAACTTAGGCTTCATTTGGATATTTTTGACTTGTACTGAGTTAAATTTGTTACTGGCTTAAATGTTATTAGAACTAGACTTCCTTTTGTCTTTTTAATAATTTATTTATTTTTGTAATAAATTACTACATACACAGTACAAAATTCAAAAGATACAAATGATATGTAGTAAAAAGATAGTCTCCCTCCTACCTTGACCCCCAGTTAACAAGTTCTTCTCCATGAAGGCTACCAGTTTTTTGTGTATTCCTCCAGAATTGTTCTGTGCAGATATTACTGTGTGTGTTGGTGTATACATATATGTTTGTATGTAAACTTTTTTCTTTTTTATAGAAATGACAGCTCACTATACTCACTGTTCTCAGCTTGCCCTTTTCATTCATCTTTTTGTTTGTATTTAGATGTCTCAGAAAGGTTTTGGGAAAAAAAAGAAAAACTTGGTGGATTAGGAAATGTGGTTGTCACCATGACAACATTTACTGAATAGGTGTTCTTACTGATGGCAGTTCACAGACAGTATTAAAAATATAATATAATTCATGCTGGATGCGGTGGCTCACACCTATAATCCTAGCACTTTGGGTGGCCAAAGCGGGAGAATCACTTGAGGCCAGGAGTTTGAGACTAGCTGGGCAACATAGCAAGACCCCGTCTCTAAAAAAAGAAAAAAAAATTAAAAATTAGCTGGGCCTGGTGGCTCTAAGTCAATAAGGTATTGCTACATCAGAATTCTAAACTAGGGCCAGGCTTGGTGGCTCACACCTGTAATCCTAGCAGTCTGGAAGGCTGAGGTGGGATGATTGCTTGAGGAGGAATTTGAGACCAGCCTGAGCAAGAGTGAGATCCCATCTCTACTAAAAATAGAAAAAATTAGCTGGTTGTGATGGCACGCACCTCTAGTCCCAGCTACTCCAGAGGCTGAGGCAGGAGGATCGCTTGAGCCCAGGAGTTAGAGGTTGCTATGAGGTAGGCTGACACCACAGCACTCTAGCCTGGGTCACAGATTGAGACTCTGTCTCAAAAAAAAAACCCAAAAAAAACAAAGAATTCTAAACTAGCCCTCAAGCCCATGACCGGGTCTGGTTCATGGTTCCTGTTCCAGCCTCATCTCTCCACTCTCTATTTGCTCACGATGCCCTGGCCGTGCTGACTTCTTCCTTATCCTCCTATGTGCAAATCTTCTAGAGTTCACAGTTTTAGTGTGGGCTGGAATGGAGTCAAGTTTCTAGTTAGTTTTAGTCTGTGCTTTATTTCTAGTGCTTGATACCTGCTAAGAGACATTCATTAAAAATTCGTTGATTTTCACAGTGAAGGAAACTAAGACCGAGAGAGACCAAATGCTTTCCTGATTCATGCACGGGCACCAACACATATTACCTAGATGCTGTGATTCCTAGCCCAGTGTACTTTCAGCAAGATCATCCCAATTCTCTGCTTTGAGAGATTCCCCTTCTCTGAATCTAGACCTGCACTGGCAACATCAGAGAAGTTTTCCCTTTAAAAACAATGACTTTATTTGACAGCTCCCCTTTTCTTTTTGCCACCCTTCAGGTTTACAAACCAGTTACGTATAACAGATGGGTTGTGAAGAGGATCTCCATCAATCATTTTTTTTCTTTTCCTTGTAGGCAATCTTTGGTAGCCAGACACTACCTAACTCCAACTTATGGACAGTGAATAATGGGGCAGGCTGCAGAATTTCAAGTGCTACAGTTAGTGGCCAGAAGCCAACCACTCTGCCACAAAAACTGGTGCCACCTCCAAGTTCTTCCTCCTCCCTGGTCCCCAAGCCCCCACCCAATCACAAACAAATGCTCAGAAAGGCAACATCCCAGAGGGCTTCCAAGTAAGTTTTCTGTAATATTCTGTTCACTTTCTTTGAGTTATATCAATTTTAAGCTAATAGTACTCTTTATTTGTGGAGCTTTGAAGATAGTTATTGAGGTATTGAAAACAAGAACACCTGGTGGGGAATACAGGCTCAGCCCTGGCTACAGTTGAAATCACCTGTGGAGCTACTGCAACATGCGGATGGCGGGTCTCTCCCCTGTGGGAGGGGCAGGCACTGCTCGGTTAGGTTCCACAGGTGATTGTGATGAGAGCTGCCTGCAGGGTTCAGGGTCATTGCTAACCAACTCTGCTGGCCTCTGACAAGAACTACAATCTGACAGTGCACCAGGTGTAACAGTCCTGAACCATGGGCTTGGAAAAAGGCAATGAAAACTTCCTCCATGTATCTTTTCTTGGTCATTCTACAAAATCAGATCAGCACCCTTCTTCTCCCCCCTTGTTTGTTTGTTCACTTTTAGGCAGGTGAATGAGAAGATACAGGATTAAGATTTCATTTCAGAAAATAAACTTTGTTCACATTAGTCAACAAGCTCTGTATAGCAACAGTGTTTTTATAATAATACCTTTGTAATCCACCTATTTTATACCAAAAAAGACATTTCCGTGCCTGCATCAAATTTTTGTAGGTCACAATCCTTCACTCTACCTCCAGCCATTTTTTGGTTAATGAACTAGAAATAGATTGGTAAAAGATGTTGATTCAAGCAGCCCTTTTTTAGTTTAAAATTGGGGAGCTTTACAGAGGTGTCTGGAAAAGGCAGGCCTTTCCTGCTGTGTGGACACCTAGAGGAGATTTGTATTTCTCTTGCCTTTGTTGAGGCTTGTCATTCATTTGTCCTTTACAAGATCAGTATTAGTTGTAAGAAAGAATCCTAGGACATAGAAAAAGTAGTTACTGTTTTTCCCTCCTTGGATGGTGAATCAAATTCTGGATTTGGATTGAAAACAAACCCTTGTGACTGTTTTAATTATATTGCTGCCATTATTCCTTTATCCAACAAATATTTATTCAGTGCCCACTAAAGTACCAAACACTGTTCTAGGAATAGTTGGCATTATAATAACTGCAGAACCCTCTGGAGTAGTAAGGAAAGGCAGTAAGAAGGCTGCAGTTTCTGGTTGAATTCCAGTAGCAAAATAGAAAGGAAACTGTGTATCTTCTCACCTTAGAAAGAGTAGAGTCAAATCCTGAAGGGTGCAGCCTTTGTAGCCACACTTCATTAATTTGATACCTTCAGCAAGTTACAAGTTAATCTTTTGATTAAGGGTATCTACTTCCAAGGTCAGTTGATAAATACTAGCAAAGTTAATATAGTACATAGAGCAAAGCCTGGCACACATTAAAAACTCCATAAGCCTTAGTCACCCTCATGCATTCTAAAAACACACTCTCCTTCACAGGTTTGAAAAGCCCACAGTTAACTAGGAAAATTAGTGAGTTGGATGTGAATGCTGAATTTGCCAGTGTGCTCCTTGTTTGTGGATTCTCTGGTTATTGCCAGCACCCTGAGATGGCCCGGGGTGGTCTGTATGGTGGCTGGTCAGCTGGTGGAGAGGTGGGCTTAGGCAGCAGGGCTGGATGTTTGAAGACGCTGCCTGCTGCCCTGAACTCGCAGCTGGCAGGAGAACTCCTCAGCCTCCTGAGATGGAATTGCAGCTCTTTGGACAGACTTTGCTTTACTGCATTTTTGTGGTTTCTTCTCTGTGACAGGCAGGAGTGTGGGAAAACCGGAAACAGCTCAGCATCAAAAATGCACAGAAGGGGGAAAAAGCAAAGATTTCTTCAGCATTTAAGTAATATAATCCAAATATCAAAAGGCATGCTGTGAGGCGTTGTTCCAGGAAATAGTTTCCAATTTGCCTTTAAAACTCTAGCACAAGTCTCTGAAGCTAAGTTAGTACTAATGGAGACCTTAGCATTCTCTCACTTACATGTAAAATGTGCAGTGTTGTGAAGGCCCCACAGTTTTCAACTATTTTTATGACTTTTAGGAAAAATAATAGCATGGTTTTTCATGTGGATGGACTCAATGAAAAGCTCCCTCTATCAAGTATCCAGTATCCATTTTTTCTTAAAAATAAACCATATTTTATATTAATTTTAGATTTATAGAAAAATTATAAGGATAGTACAGGGAGTTCCCATGTACCACTCACCCAGTTTTTTACACTGTTAACATCTTACCTTGCCATGTTAAATTTGCAGAATGTACCATACCAAGAAACTGTCAGTGGTACATTACTATGAACTAAACCCCATACTTTATTTGGATTGACAAGGTTATTTTTAATCTAGAGAAACTTCTCATGACTCCTGAAATCGGGATCCTGAGTATCAGTCGATATATTCTAACTATTCTAAAGTAATTCTTGTTCCTAGGCAGAATTGCAAGTTACTCAACATCTCTGTGACTCAGTTTTCTATTTTAAAATAGTAATAACAATAAAATAGTACCTGCCTCATAAGGTTCGTAAGAGAAATAAATGAATTAATGAATGTCAAGCACAAATCCAGTGCCTGATACATAATACATGCTGAATATGTGTTAGGTATTATTATGGTTAGTAATAAGATGGCATTTCAAGAAATTTTCATGTAATTTTTTACTTCCTCCTTACAAGATGTGTTGCTTCATTTGCTTGGATCTTATTAATGGCCTTACTGTGGACTCTGGCTCAATTCAGATTAATCAGGAACCCTGAGTTATGACTGGTGATACTGAGTCACACTCAGGAATGCCATAGTTGCCCCAAGAGACACAACTAATGAGAAGTTGTAATGAGCTTTTGACCATGCCAAGCCCTGTGTTTTTGGGTTGAACTTCAAACCTCTCCTAACACAGAAGTTGGCATTAGACAAATATAGAAGCAATTTCCAAAAGCATCAGAGTTTCCACATCCTAGAGGGTTGAGTTTAGAGAACAATAGAACATTAAAGATGGAATGTCGTGTGGATTTTGGTGCAAAGGGAGTTGAGAATCAGAACAGTGGGGTCCTGTTTCTTTATGATAATACTCAAGTCACTTTCCCTCTAAAGGTTTCATTTTCCCATCTGTAAAACAAAAACCACTGTCCCTACTGAATAATTAACCAAAATAACTTGTTTTCTGTCTATTCCATTGAAAGCTTTTTTATGAGCACATTTGTTTTTTAGCCCTGATGCTTTATAGCCATTTTCCTCATCCCCTCTTGGCCCAGCAGTTCTTTGTTAGTGTTCTAAAATTCGTATACTTATATTTCCTATAGCTAAATCTCACTTTTCAATTCTGTGAAGAAAATGATTTAGAATTTTTTCCGTTTTCTTTTTTTCCCCACTATTTGCATAATGCCAGTAGCCTTTCCTGCTTTCCCTCTATAATGTTCGCAACACTTCATAATTTAGTACCCTCTTCAGATCCTCCTTTCAAAACTATTTGTGGTATTTCTTCCAAGTGGTCAGCTGGACTAAGAAGGATGACAGCCTCTGAGCAACTACATGCATCCGAACTATCTCCTTGTCAGTGACCTTTTTTCCAGAGCCAGAATCATACTCTCCAGGAAATATGAAGAAAGAAACCTGAGGAGATTGAAATTTGCCAGGCACAGGGGCAAAACGCATAGACTAGAGATGAATTTGAAAGCAGGGTCAAAAGCTATTGTGACTTGGGAGACTTCTCTGAAGAAAGAAAACTCTTTGAGAAACACAGACTGAACTCTCCAGTGCTTTTCTTTAAATAGCTGGGATTACTATTCCTTACCCAGGTCTTAGGATACTCTGCGTCAGTGACCTCAGTGGAAGCTGAAGGTAACTACTGTTCTGTGTCAGCACCCAGGACAGTGGTGTTTGTTACAGGCTGCTAGGGATTCAGAGGGAGGAAAGCAGTCAGGAGCTCAGGAGCCTGGGAAAGCTAAATGCCAATCAGTGTGGTAAGGTCTGCAGTGCTGCAGAAGATGTTTAGAGGTTCATGTCAGAAAATATAAAAAATAAGCATCAGGTTAAAAAACACTGTGTTCTATATTTTTAGCATGTGAGTCATTAAAGTGAGAAGATTCTAGGGCAAAGTCATCAGGAGTTACAAATGCTCCAAAAGTTCTTGATATGAACATAAATGTCATATTGTAGGTTAAACATCTTCTGTCAGCCTTTTAGCCTTTTATTATGTGTAGTTTCAAGAAACATAATTGAATCTTTGGCATTTCCATTCTTAAATATAGGAGTCTTTAAATTATACACTTCCAAAATATGTGATTATAGAATTTTTGTGCTAGAAGATAAAGGGATGGAATAGTATGGGGCTATGAGTGTGTAGCAAAGTGTTCAGGTAGGCAATGGCCAAGCCACAACTGGAACACATATCACCTGCTATGCTAACCTTAGATTCTTCCCAATAGACCACTGATTTCCAAGGTCCCTGACGATTCATCCAAATACATCTATGCAGCAAATGGCAGATTAATTATTTTAAAATATTGCTTTTTGAAAAATGTAACGTACACTCTTAGGAACTCGCTCCCCTCCCTTTCTACACCAGTTTTACCACTCAAATGACCAATGAAGTAATGCTACTGTCATGTTAAAGGTGTTGGGGGAAATTCTGTTAGATGTAGCACAGAAAGGATGGGAATGAAAAACAACATTAAGGGCTTTTGTATAGTGCCTGCCTGTGAGAGTGCAGTCTAGGAAATGAGAGGGAGACCTGGAATATCCCAGATGATCCCCTTTCACTCTGAGTTGCAAGGCCTGAAGGTAGGAAGGAGGTAAGCACCAGCCAGGAGGTCTGCCACTAAGACTCTCTTTCTTCTACTCACTGTCCTGATTTGGATCTCAGTGATGGCATTAGGAGGTCTTAGGGTTTGTTTTTGGTATGGACAATGACATCAGTCAGAAGAGGGTCCTAGCAACCACACCTAACCAAGAGTGGCACGGTTGCATGTGGTTCACTGGGAAGGAGAGGTGTGTGAGGGTCACGAATGACGGATCCTCCTTTGGTGATTCATATTCGTGTAATTTAAATT